ATGAGGTATGGACTAATAGCGGCTGCTCAAGCGCCATTTGTAAGCTCAAAGTCTACCTCGGTCTGCTTCACGTCAGTCCGTTTGATCTATCTAATCATTATGTAAAACTTCTGCAATTCAGTGTATGCTGCCATGGAAGTTCAAATATACTATCTACTATCTACCCTACTATCTACCTTAAATTTTTCAGCGAATACTATGACCTAGGCAATTTGAACCCTGGGTGTTTTACCCGGGGCCATGGTATTCGACTTCGAATACCACACTTGAGCGGGAAATTCGACTTTTTTAAATGTAAAGTTATCAAAAGTTGTGTTTTGAAATTAAAAGTTAATTGAATGGTATTTGTTTTCTACTTATACTACTAATATACCATTTATAGACCTTTCACTCGGGGTATTCCACAAAAAATTCACTTCTTGAGGTAACCTACAATTGACTACTTGAATCACTAATTTCTTTTTTTTTTAATTTTATTTTCCCATGTATAAAAATCTACTTAAAATATATTACAATATTTTGAAGATGTTGGGCTAGAGACCTACTAGAAATCTTCATAGACTTTTTATTTTAGGTCTCTAGTTACTGTTCGTTTTATCACATAATCAATTATTTACAGTCAATCAATACATAACATGTAAAATCAGAAAGTTTTAAAGTATACACACTATATTTACAAGAGAGAAAAAGAAGTGCAGGGAATGTTCGTATTATATAAATTAATATATGTTGTAGATGCATTTAATTTTACAATGTCAATGCTGGGCTACAATAGACTAAAGTATATGTCATTATATACATTAGAGAAGTATGTTTTATATATTGGTAATTGTGTATAGCAAAAAATGTTGTTTAATTTTCTTTTTAAAGGTGTTATAGGAGTTTACTTCATTAAGTTTTGTTTCTAACAAATTCCATACATCAACTCCTTTATTTGAGAGAGTGTGTTTTACATAATTTGTTCTTTTATAACATTTGTGAAGTTTTTTATGCATTTCTCGTGTTATGTTCATGAATTTGGTTGTTTGTTACAAAATAATTTTTAAAGAAATCTGGTAAATTGTTAAGGTGGTGGTATCGAAACATAAATAAGGCAGTTAAATAGTCATTGATTTTGAAAATGTCTAGGATATTTAAATCTTTGAAAATTAATGGCTCACTGTGCTCTAAATAAGACTTGAAAGTCATTAGACGTACAATTGTTTTTTGTATGTTCATTATTTTTTGGATTCGACTTTTATAAGTATTACCCCATGTTAAGTTGCCGTATATCAAATATGGATAGACTAATGCATAATATATAAGTTTTAGAGTATTTCGATTTATGAAATGTCGTATTTTAGCTATTATACCAGCAGCTCTAATTATTTTCTTTGCTACCTTAGCTATATGATCTTTCCAGGTCAAACATTCGTCAATGATAATACCGAGGAAGGTTTTACTTTTAACTTGTTCGATATTTTTACCATTTATGTTACTTTTAATGGTTTGACTTGGTTTTTTATTTGGAGATCTGAATAAAATTATTTTTGTTTTTGTAGTATTTAGAGATAATTTATTCACATTTAACCATTCAGCAACTTCATCAATTTCTGTTTGTATAATATTACTAAGTGTCTTTAGACACTTGTTACTATAAAATATATTAGTGTCATCTGCAAATAATATAAATGAAATTAATTTGCTGCAATTTTCAATATCATTTATATAAAGCAGAAATAAAATTGGTCCAAGAATTGACCCCTGTGGGACACCACTCTTAATTACCATTTCTTTTGATTTAATTTGGTTGTATTTAACAATTTGTTTTCTATTCTTTAAGTAATCTTGAAACCATAATTGAGTTATTCCCCGTATACCATAGTGATCAAGTTTTTGAATCAATATCTTGTGATCAATTGTGTCAAAGGCTTTTGACAAGTCGAGGAAAATACCTATCGTGTATTCTCCTCTATCGATTGCTTTAGTAACTCTGTCAACAAGTTCTATGATTGCAAGCTCAGTGGATCTATTTTCCCTAAAACCATACTGATGCTGTGTTAATATGTTATTTTTGTTATTTTTTTCTATGTGGTTAATTAATCTCTTATACATAAGCTTTTCTAACAATTTAGAAAAACTAGTGAGAACAGATATGGGCCTATAATTCTTAAATTCATTGTTTTCGTTTGCTTTGAATATAGGGGTAACTAGAGCTATTTTTAGATCATCAGGAATAGTTCCAGAAAGAAAAGTCAAGTTAAATATGTGTGAAAGTGGTTCAGAAATTTCTGTAGCAATCGCTTTGATTACCTGTGAGCTTATACCGTCATAGCCAGGGCTTTTTTTGGCATTCAAATTGTTTATCTCATTTTCTAATTCATATTTAGTTATTGGATTAATAAAGAAGCTATTTTTACAGCTATTAGTGAGATATTTATCAAAGGTTGTTTTGGAATTCGGGAGTTTTTTTGCTAGTCCTGGGCCAATATTTACAAAATAGTCATTGAATCTATTTGCTATTGTGTTTGGATCAGTAATCTTTTCTCCAGGGCTATTTCCATTAAATTCTTTTGGTAACATTCTATTTGTCTTATTTCGGTTCATAATTTCATTTAATGTTTTCCATAATACCTTTGTATCATGTTTATAATTTATTAATATATTTTTTGTATATTTTTTCGTTTTTTCCTGTAGGATATTGGAGGTATTTTTTATATAATTTGTTCTTTTGCTTAACTGATTTTGCAATACATCTTGTCATCCATGGACTTCGAGTTTTGTCAATCTTTCTTTTCGTAACTTTCTTTGTCAATGGAAAGTGTTTTTCATAAGCTATTGAAAATAAGTTGAAAAATTTGTTGTAGGACTCTGTCGTGTTGTTTTCAGAAAGTACATTTTCCCATGATATATTCTTAATTGTATTAGTAAATGATTCAACAATCAGTTACACTATTATTAATCCTGAGGATGACTACAAACTAGTCAAAACGTCGATTAAAAATCAAAATGTTATTCGGAGTTACTGTTATTTTGTAAGTCTCTTATGTTCATGTAAATAGACAATTTCCATTATGGACTAATTTTAGAACTAGGCAAAGAGATGCAAATCAAGGCCGGATTTTGGTGAAAATAGTGGGGGAGGTGGAAAAAATGTTAGGGAAGGTGCAGCGGTCTAGCTCACAACCCCCATGGAAAGTTAGGGCTTATTGTAGAACAGGCAATATCAACGAGGTGAGGTATGCATGTGGTGTACATATGTACCAGTGTATTAATGAATTATGAATGTATGACTCCAATCTTGCCCTAATCATTACAATTGCTACAAAGTTTCTTTCAAAACATTGCATTAAAAGGGTACTTGACACAGAGATGAATGGCTATCACTGTTTCAATTTTACAGAGAAAACTTTCTTACGTCACTAAGTGTAGATCCTAAGCAACCATCACATTTTCACTTTGTTCCATCATTGAAACTAATTCCCAAGGGGAGGTACATGACCTTTTAGGAGAGGTGCAAAAGTTCTCAGGGGAGGTGCAAAACGATCTCAGGGGAGGTGCGCACCTCTCCATACCTCGCCTCAAAATCCGGCCTTGGAAAAATTTATGTTTGCCTGTTTGGGGGGTCTTTGAAAATTTTACTTGTCTTAAGAGGGGGGCAACGAAAAAATATTATAACTGTAGAGTTTCTCCTCAGTCTCCTCCTGTACAATGAATAATGAGCAGTCCCTTTATAGACTCCCTTGGGCATTATTTTTTTCCCTATTTACAATATATATAAAATGTATCGCATTCTCATGTTTTTATATCATTATATCAAACTAAAATCACACACAAATTACATAGAATACATAAAGGAAACTATTAAAGTAAGTTATACTTTATAATTTAAAGTAAATTTTTAATGCAAAATATCATAAAATAAAAAAATACCCACCGATTCAACCGACTTTTTCGGCGACAAAACTAAAAAAGTAAAAAGTACGGATCGGGTGGACTGCAAGATGGATCTTGAAAATGTCACCCGTGTTTGTTATTTGCGAAAATTGATCTATTCTCGCACTATTTATGCTCCATAATGTATCGTTTTACTTTATCACTAAAAGCTAGAAGACTGCCTGTTGCTGCAGGCGTTGTTGCTGCTTTTGGCTCGATATGGTTAACTTGCAAAGATCAATTATATTACAGCAACTCGTACGGTAGTTTGTTGTGGCAATATTTTGTCCCAAGCTTCCTTAAAACTGGCAGTGCCCCTAACATACCGGGAAAGGATTCCAGCAATCCTCAGTCATCTAGAAAGCTACCTCATGTGGAAATACGGAGAAATGAAAAATTTGTTCCTGTAAATTTTGGTGTTGTTTCCCACTATGAGAGCAACAATTTGGCATCAAATGAACCCATAGAAGACAGGAATGCTGAATACCGTGTTTTAGATGGTTTATTGTTTGGTGTTTTTGATGGGCATAGTGGATGGCAATGCGCAGAGGAGGTCATGAATAGGTTGCCTTTCTATTTTGCGTTTTCACTTGCATCCAAGCATGGTATACGTGATCCAAAGGAACTTGACAAAATCTTTTCTAGAGTTGGTCAGTTAGCAGGGACTCAAGTTGCAAGAACAAGTGCAAAGGATATTCTTGGGCCGAAAGCGCATGAATTTGTGGAAAACGGAAATCTTGTCAATACGGGCATTGACCAGCAGTTGAGGAGTGCATATAGTTTACTTGATAATGATATTGTGTATGAAGCTTTGCCTGAAGTGAATGGTTATGACCATGAGAAAATTATGAAGGGTTTGTCTGGTGCTTGTGCTATAACAGCCTACGTCCAGGGTAATGATTTGTATGTTGCTAATTCAGGTAAGAAACTGTATGGTCAGCCCTACTGATCTTATTGTTGCAGTTACATGATCACCAGACAATATTTTGGCTTTGGAGATTAATTTCCTGTGCAAAAAAATCTTTTGCAATTTTGAAAATCTGTGCAAAATTCCTCAAAATTGTAAAAAACTGCAAATAAGTTGTGACGAATCTACACAAAATGCCTTTGTGAACCAAGAACAAAAGCAGATTTCTGATCTTCCTATTTGACAAAAACACTTTCTGACTGCAGAATCCCCTGGTCTGCCATAATTTTTTTTTGATAATATCCGGGGTTTCTGTGCACTTTTCCCAAGCAAAACCATTTGCTATGCAAAATGAAACTTCTCAATCTGGCATAACCCATAATCCTACTTTGTAGCCAAACATCTTTTATCTACCAAAATTTGTTCCAACATGTGAGTGAACAATGGCTTGCGCTGTCAGGGTGTGACAATTCAAAATTTTTTGTCGTACCTGACTGGTACTCCAATTATGATTATTACCACATACTTGAGCTGGTACACACTTAAGACTCAAGGTGTACTTAGGCGTAAAAAAAAATACCTGTGGTTCCGGTTTCATATTGTGAAAAAATTAGGGTCGGTAGGTCGGAAATAAATTTATTTTTTTTTAATATTTTTTTCATGGTTTTGGCGTTTTTTTTGCTGGGCGATTTGCAGTATTGTCCCGACATCAGTATTAACTAGAGATGCGTATTTCCTATGGACGAATTTAGGCAATTTGGTTCAATAATTAGTGTGACAACAGACGCCATTTTGGCACGCTGTATGAGCAGCCCGCAACCACCTGGAGAAAATAGGGTTGTACGGTCAATCGCGTTGAAAAAATAATAGGGTCGGCAGAAAAAAATAGGGTTGGTCGGGAACCGGAACCACAAGTATTTTTTTTTATGCCTTAGCCTTTAAAATGAAGTACATAAAGTATAGATGTCGGAAAGGTATTAGTTCAGTAACCTGAAACCACAATTTAGAACAAGAAGGACGACAACTGCATACACAAACACTATAAAATTGACTCATTCCTTAGGCTTAGTCCCATCAGTCCAATTAACAAAATATGCCGACTTTTTGCCTTTGTCAAGTTTGCTTAACATTAGTTATATCCAATTAAATCTATCCAATAGGAACTGCTCATTTAAACCTGTCATGTGTATTAATAAAATCAACATTCAAGTCTGGAAATTATTTATAGCATACATATCAGATTTGATTGACAAGCATATCAATTTCGACCAATGGGAATTTTGCATTATGTAGGCAACGCGTATTTCGTTTCTTGATGTGTTGTCGGCAGTCCCTCCTTTCTCCTGAGGGATGCTCGTTGTCTACCCATCGCTAGCCAACTGTTGATTGCTACAAATCCTCGATATATTAAATATATTGCTCATATTTTATATCCCTAGGAACGAGGCTGATTTTTTATGGGTGCAACTAAAAAACCATTCCCCTCTACCCTAAAAATTAGGAAAAAAGGATGCTAACCAAGTTTTTTTTACTTGGCCTTATTTTCTATTTTTCTTGTAAAATGGCAAAAATAATTAAAATATTCATACAAAAATGATAGAATGATCAATTTCTGAAATATATATTGTAAATATGTCATAATGTGCGTTTTATAAGCTTCATTTTAATGTACAATTCAACCTTGGATGCATGACTGGATTTTGATGGAAAGAGTGGGGGATGTACTGTAGTGTACATATGTATCAGTGTATTAATGAATTATGACTGTACGACTCATCCAATTTTGCCCTTCATTACAATTACTACAAAGTTTCTTTCAAAACATTGCATTTGCAAGGGTATTTGACACTGAGGTGAATGGCTATTACTGTTTCAATTTACAGAAAAACTTTCTTTACAACTAAAAAAGGTCAAATTTTCATTTTGATCTATGTGAAACTTCCCAAGGGGAGGTAACGTTGCGCACCTCCCCACACCTCCCCTCAAAATCCAGCCATGTTTGGATGTTCAATAAATGTCAATTTAACTATATAATATACGGCTGTTTGTTTGGCTGTTTTTACTGATTGACTAGTATGTACAGTATTTATCTTAGTCTTTTTTGTAGTTGAAATGCGATCAGTTCAGCATTGATTGACAAGCAATTTAGAATCATTTTACATGTTAATCACCAGACACATTTCCTTAAATTACTTCGAACTATCAGTGCCGGTAGAGACAATAACAGAGAGTCACAGTATAAAAAGTATACAAAGGAAAATATAAGCAGAACTTTGGCATTTCGAGCGAAGGCTCTTAATCGAGAAGTTAGTCAAAACTCTTCGTCAGGAACTTATTATATTATTATACTTATTATATTATTATTATTATTATTATACTTATTATACTTATTATATTATCGTCGGGCCATCATGACATTCAAATGTATGACTGGTGCACTAGCTGACAAACTAATTTACGACGCGGGCAGACGTCTCGAAGCGATCCACTATCAATTCTCGGAATATTAACATTCCTTTATTTAAAAGTAAGACTGGGCAACGAACATTTAATTATCAGGTTGTTAGCCTCTGGAATTCGTTGAACAATGATCTAAAACTTTGTACTTCTATTTCAGGATTTAAACGTTGTCTAAAGAAACAACTCTTGCATGAGTTTCTCACTAATTAGTCATTGAATTAAAATAAGTCAGTTAAATTTTTCTAGCTTTAGAACTTAGAATTAATTTTATTTGTTAATTAATTATCTCTGAAAAGCCCCATTGGGGACGAGTTAATAAATTTGTATTGTATTGTATTGTATTGTATTGTATTGTATTGTATTGTATTGTATTGTATTGTATTGTATTGTATTGTATTGTATTGTATTGTAAGTTAGTGACTTTCCGACGAAGGGCCTTTGACAAACTTCCGGATGAAAGGCCAAAGTTGCTTGAAATGTCGGAGTTTTGTATCACACTGCAGCTGTCTTAAGTTACTTAGGACTACTGGGATTGATAATCTCTGAGACATTTTACTTAACATATGCATACATGATGGTACTGTACTTAATATAATGTTTTCTATTACCAGGAGACTGTCGTGCAGTTCTTGGATCTAAAACACCTGATGGTGGATGGCTTGCAACTCCTTTATCACTGGATCAAAATGCACACAATCATGATGAGACTGACCGCGTACAATTGGAACATCCTGGAGAGGAATTTATCATCTGGAATGGACGTCTGCTAGGTCATCTCCAACCATTTCGGGCTTTTGGTGATGTCATATTCAAATGGGATTCCCAATTGCATAAGGAATTTTTAAACAACATTTATGGCAGAGTCGTAATGCCACCACATGTGTATCGTACCCCACCCTACCTCACTGCTGAACCTGTGGTAACACATCACAGTTTGGAATCTGAGGACAAGTTTCTAGTGATTGCCACTGATGGATTGTGGGATATGATGAGTAGCAACGCCGCGGTGCAGTGTGTTGGTGAACTGTTGGACAGTGGTGATCTGTCACATTATGACCAGGATGAGAATGCTGTGCAGTTTAATGGTGCAAGTCAGTTGATTCAAGAAGCACTAGGTGGAGATGATGACATAAAGGTTAACAAATTGCTTAATGCACCAAAACACATCAGAAGGGCTGTTAGAGATGATATCACTATTACTGTTGTTTATTTTACTGAAAGATAGGGAAATACGATTCGTTTCACACTTGTTAATCGCCAACCTTATACCCAGTGTTTAATTAAAGATAGAAACATGTGATTCGGTAACAACTACTATAAATTATGTAAATCAGTAAATGATACTCTAATATATTACGTTATGAGCAGTACTTATTAAAACAATAAATAGTCCACCGAGGCTTATAAATACTAGTTAAAATATGAGCCGCTGATCTTTATGGGCATTGTTAATTAATTCATAAAGTTCAGTTGCGAATATTTTAACGTACTTGTGAAATGATTTTATTTGTTTTATTACTTTATTAGTATTCACTGCCCATGAGGACAATCTCACGCTTCATTAGCACGCACTTAAATAACTTTCATAAACATTCCTCTAACATGACTTACTGATCTTTAATGCGGTGTACAAGTGTGCAAATGTGACCTACATGTAAATACCGCGTCGTGATTTGTTTGTAGCCGTATTAATTATTCATGAATTTTATTCAGGAAGTATCTAAACTGTCTACGCTGGTTATTTACAGCATGGTCACTTGGTTTGTTGACCGTGGCTGTAACTTACAGTCTACCTAATATAGGCTAGCATTCTATTATGATATCGCATTTTATTATTGTCGCTACCTTAAAACAATTTTATGGTCCAACGTCAAGGAAATCACGTGCCCATAATTAACCAAGGTCATATCCCACTTCTTGGTAATTCCTCGAATAGAAGACAAAAACATTTTCATGATTTAATATTTCGGTTTTATAACTCTGATTTGTTTGACACTCTGGTTTGTCTGCCGGTTTTAGTTTGCATAGACTTTCCAAATCTTGGGGAAATAACGACCATAAATTTCTATGGCTAGTATTCTTCTGCCCGCAGGATCACCCTGAAATTACCCTGGGGACGAGGTTTAAATATTGGTTTACCTAACCGCAAGGTAAATGCAGGTAAGCTAACCGTATTTTTAACGTGTGAAGTGCAAGAGCGAAAAAACTTCGATTTTTAAGTCAACTGAATTATACAGCTCTAGCTATTAGAGGTCTGCTCGCCAGTAACACGATATACTTTTTGTTACTAATTAATATAGGGTAAATATCAAGGTTTTGTTGGCATCTAACTCGATTGAATACTATTGGTTAGAGTGCTGCACCGGAATCGCTGGTTTTTGCCAGAGGACTTATAGTTGCACCTCTCGTTCCTGGTTAAAGCCCGTTTAATGGGATTTTCGTCTTCTGATGGATGTGAAGGAGTGGATGAGTTATAAATGTTCAGATGAAGGAACATGTACTCGGAACATTCATAACTCATCTACTCGTTCTCATCCATCAGAAGACGAAAATCGCGCTAGAAATCGCAGCAAAAATTGCAAGTGTAAACAGGCCTTCAGGTCTAATAAATCTATATAAAATGTAAACTCGATAATTTCCATCTACAAACTCTTTAATAAAATAGACTAGTATGAGTTTTTGTTTTCTAGACCCTACACTCCCTACACTGGCACAGAGTCTTTACCGTAGCAAGCTCGATACTTGGGGGGGGAGCTCATATTCATATATTCGTGTTCTGCGTTATTAATTTCTTTTGAAATCGATTGTTTTTATGGTCTGTGAACACGAATATATGAATATGGGTCCCCCAATTATCTAAACTTGCTCCAGGTCTCCCTTTCATTGTCGCTATCGATCCACTATAGTGTACATTACATGACGTAGCACGGAGGGGCGGAGCGAGAAAGAGAGACTTGTCAAGACTTGCTTTAAAGGTGACTGATGTTTTGAGTTCTTGAGAAGCCTGATTGTTGTTTCTTGATCATTTATTATACTCTAGAAGCTTGAAAATATAAATAGTTGTCGAATAAAGCTCAATATTTTGGACACAAAAATGTAAAGTTAAACTTTTGTATCATAAAAAGTGGGCTCATTTGTGCACATGCGCAGATCGGACTGTAGATCACCTTTAATTGTTTTCTGTCAGTGTTTATATGTAATGATCTAGAACAGTGTAAATAACATGAGTTCCATAATAGCAAATAATACAGAAAGAAATTGAAGGAAAACAATTAAGTTAAAGCAAGTCTTGCATTTTCGGTTCAGTTTTGAACCGAGATTTTCCGAAGTTGACAAGTCTCTCTTTCTCGCTCCGCCCCTCCGTGCTACGTCATGTAATGTATACTATAGTGGATCGATACTTCGATACCATATGACAAGGAACTGAGAGACTTGGAGCAAGTGTACCAATTATCGAGCTTGCTACGGCACTGCAGACCGTTCAAAAACCCCCGCTCATACCTGTTCCCAGTATACATTATAATTGTTTCGAGCGATACACAGCTGGGAGACAGCTTACGGTGTTCATATATCACTTTTTACTTTTTGATTCGATTTGTTGTATTGTGACTGGTGTTGTGAAAGCACGGCTATATATGCAGCCCTCTACTCCACATACCATTCAATTTTGTAGTCGTTGCCAGTTGGGCAAGTGTCGTCAAAGGCGGCCGTACGTCTAGAATTTAAACGGAAACCGGCATGACTAGTCTACTATGTCTACGACGAGTCGTTCCATTATGATTCATGTGGATTTAGGTGGCGTAGTCCGTCCGAGCAAGCACCTCGGAGTCAGTCGTGGGTTCGATTCTCGCTACGGACTCATGGGAAAAGAGTCCGTAGCAAGAATCCGTAGCGGGCGCTCCGGTTTCCTCCCACAGGGAAGTTGAAAGGGTGGGTTAGGATAAACACAGTTAAGAAAGTAATATCACATTGTTGTAGAGATAAAATAGTCTAGGCTCATGATCAGCCTGAGCAGTAAAGGCGGATTTTCATTTAGTGCAAAATGTCGCGCGATCGACATTTTGCGATCACAGTTCTTTTGAAATATAAGCCATCAAACGCAACGGACGAGGTTGACTGAACACAATACATTTCAAAAGAAAGTGATCGCAAAAAGTTGATCTCGCGACATTTTGCACTGAATGGAAATCGGCCTTAAAGTGCCTATACCATGGTTTTGGAGTTTGCATATCTCGAAAGTTTAGGATATTTTAAGACACTTTGCAATATATTTTGTTATTGAAAGATTTCATCTTGATGGATTTATTAGCTCTTAAAGTTACCGGACATGATGTCAAAAGGAGAATTTTGTTGCAATGATACAAAGGAAAACTGATTTGCAATTCTCCTTTTGACGTCATGTCCGGTAACTTTAAGAGCTAATAAATCCATCAAGATGAAATTTTTCAATAACAAAATATCTATTGCAAAGTGTCTTAAAATACCCTAAACTTTCGAGATATGCAGACTCCAAAACCATGATATAGGATTTATTAAGCCCTTAACACTTGATGTAACGCGCTTTTGGCCATATCCACATGTAAATTTGCGCTGTTAATATATAATCGTAATGTATTATATAATTTTGGAGCTCGTCCTTGTTGTTTTTAACTATAATTTATATAGAAAATTCTTACTGTAAAAAGAAAATAATAAGAAAATTTCAGAATCCAGTCCAATCCAAGAATTAACGAAATATCACCTAGTAATATATATCGGCTGTAGTCTGAGAAATTCCGGATGAATTTTAGCATGGGTGCAGTCTTATGGCATCAAACGACTGCACGAATGGTCTGTGCCAGTGCAAGTCAGTTACGATAGCAAGAAAGCTGCGAATTGAGAGATACCGTGACAACTACGTATACCTGAGCTTCGACGTTTCGAGAGAAGGGCAGTTCTTTGGGAAGTTAATAGCGTTGGTTGGGAAAATTACATGAGCTACTAGAAAATACATGCATGCAGAAACCCTCGCCTTGCTGACAAAACCATTGTATTTTCCGAACATGAAGTATCTAAAGTAGTTGTCATGGTAAGGGACCGGTCATAAAGTAACTGCTAGGGTGGGCTGGAGTGATTTGGGATGGGCCATGGAAAATCTTTGGGTAGTTTCGATGGGCCGCCAATATTTTGGTATGTCCACGGTTGGGCCACCAAAAAATAAAGATAATAATAAAAGTATACAAAACTATCCAAATTATCAAATGCAAATTATGCTATTGAAGCCAGTACTTTGTTTTTACAACACAACAACAAGTGGTCGAATCACAGCAAATACAACCAACTGGAGAGCAGCTCAGTATCGTAATTGGTGATGAATGTGTTGGTCAAGCTTGGTGGAATTATGTATGTCAATACAGTGCCATGTATATTTACAATCAATGTTCATACCTGCAAGTTTATTATAAAAGTGTATTATCCCAATTTAGATTGGGTGGGTCATGAACAATTTTTTGTATGATTAGATGGGCTTTGAAATTTTTATCTACATCCTAAGATGGGTCACCGAACTTTTTGGCAAAATTTGTGATTTACCTCCAGCCCACCCTATACTAGCAGTTACTTTATGACCTGTCCCTAACACGATAATTTTTTAAGAATATTCTTACAAATGAAAAATCGCCTAAAAATATCACTTTTAATTACAAAATTATCAATTTCCAAACATATATATGTTAGGTATGATACGTAATGTAAGCTTCAATTTAAGGTAACATTCAACCACAAACGCTTCGCAAAACGTTTTAAAACGCAAAACGTTTTAAAACGCAAAACGTTTTAGCGCGTCGAGGAGGATGTAACCGGAACCACAACTCATGTATTTACGTCATGCTGACACGCAGTGCTGGTATCTTTACGTCATGCGATATTGCATCAGTGCGTTTCGCTGACTAATCCTTGCATCATGCTGACTAATATAATAGTGTAACCGTGTTAACATAATGTCCATCATTTCATTCGCTTTTTAACCAATGAAAACGAGGCCTGGGGAACGACGAAGCACCCGCCCTTCAACTATAAAGCCAACGTAACAAATACAGTTGATAACTGATGTGCATTAACAGTGGTCATCTATCTTGTTAAGACTTAAGATGTCGAAGAGTAGAGTATTTGTGATTGGGGCTAGTGGTAATGTTGGCAAAGCTACAATAAATGCACTTGCAAGAAACTACGGAGAGAAGCTTGATATCAGAGCTGGCGTGCGAAACCCTGAGAAAGTTGCTGAATTTACATCCCTTCAGGGCGTCACAGTCGTGCGAGCGGAGATGGGCAAACGAGATGAGCTTATTGAGATCTTCAAAGATGTCGACGTACTGTTTATTGTCGTGCCAGGCGCTGGTGATCGTGTAGAGTTAACCCGTGTGACAGCTGAGGCTGCAAAGGAGGCGGGGGTAAAACATATCCTTTGCTTGGGCTCTCCTACACCAAACATTTCAATTGGTAAACAGATGTACGATATCGAGGAGATCATAACAAATCTTGGTCTAAATTACACAATCCTTCGTCTACCCTGGTTCATGGATAATTATTTTGCCTTTAAAGAAACTATACAGAAATTATCAGTGGTTTATGATTCTGTAGATCCGACCAAACGTTTTTCCGCCATCTGCATGGATGATCTCGGCTTAGCAGCAGCAGTCGTTCTGTCTTCTCCTGAAAAACACGCAGGCAAGAAATACCTCCTGGTGAGCGACAGACACTCGTTCAAAGATTTAGTGAAAGCGTTCAGCGAAGCTCTGGACAAAGACGTGAAATACATACAACAATCGTACGAAGAAGCAAAGGTAGTGTGGTTGCAGAAAGGTGTTCCTGAGCAGATTGTCGATGGTTTGATTGAGTATTGGAAAGAAGCCAATGCGGGTAAATACGAAGAAGGAAATGATAATGATTTCGCAGCTATTACAGAAAAACAGCCAACAAGCGTAGCTGCATGGGTCCAACGATATGCTAGTGTGTTCAAGTAAACATTATTGTTCGCATGTTACTAACTATTTATATTAATATTGGGCTTCTCAAGAAAGTCTAGATAGGTTTGGTGTCAAGTGTTTAGACATGCGTGCGTAGGTTGAAGATTAATTCAATTAATGTAAATAAGGAAATGCCCAATGCTCTTTCTTCCTCTGGATGTGTGGAAGCCCGGTGTGACGCGAAATTCCTGACTTGCGAAATATCTGACTATTGTAGAACTGCGCATCCGCAGACGATGCGCATGAATGACTTTGGCTCATAAATTTCGCAACTGAACAGACAACACGTGTATTTATAAAGCCATTTTATTTATACATAAATTTTCCAACATTAATTCTACAATTGATCAGCTGAATTGACACTATACCACTGATTGTGAACGTTATAATAAACCTTGAATCGTAGATATGGAAAAATCACTCGAAAAGCGATCTTAGTGATATAAAATAGACTCCAGTTTCAAAGGTTATGCCGTATATGCATTACTATACTATAAGCACTAAAAATCGTTTCGCGTTTGACCTTCTCACTACTTCGTAAGCAGCAACGATGAGTTCGAAGTTCATGAGTTGGCCGTTTAGATTTGGCGATGTCTATGCTAGAAACATTTGGTAACATCGCATATGGACTTAAAAATCGTTTCGACCGACCGTATTTAGCAAACGTCGTGTATTTCGCGGTCACGACCACACAATTCGCTTTGAAATTTAAAGTGTTTGTGATTGAAACTTAGCGATGTCGATTTGAAATATTTAACGAAGTATTAGAAATTAACATCATGATTATTTTATCTAAACTCTAAAAAACAGTTTTGGCCGAGTTAGAATTTAGCAAGCGTCATGTATTTCGCGCCTGTACGCGCGAAATTTCTGACCCGTCACGCTAGGTCAGGTATTTAGCAGAGGTCAGGAATTTCGCTTGACAGGTCATAACTCGCAAACCTGTACTCTAAATTACAATTTTGACCAAATAGAATTATTGTCCTTTTCTCTGACTCTGTTAATTGTGAGTATGTTGTTCTGAGGGATTCAGATCAATTGGAAATAAGGCTATTAAATGAGGCTAGTATTTTATATGTTTATTAAATATATTCCATATATATTCGATTTCATTGTTTTAACTCTTTGCGGACCCAGCCCAAATCGTTCATCCGCGAGCGGTTGATGATGGGTTAGCACTTTTTTCCATCCAGCAAACCGCCCTATCGATTTTGTAAAGTCGTTTCTTTTTGGATTTTTTTATTAATTCGGTTAGGGTTAGGGTTAGGGTTGAGGTTAGGGTTAGGGTTAGAGTAGGGGCAGGGTTTGGGTTAGTTACATAGCCATTTAACACCTCTTCTATCTTGCGAAAATGACGTCAGGTCAGTTTGCTGGATGGAAAATAGTGCTAACCTTGATGATGGCTTTGTGTTTTCATATCTTCGGTTCAGTGCATGCTATGAAGACAGAAGTACCACCATTCGATTCAGAAATAAAAGATTCAACTAATTTCTCACTATAGTTTTAGTCATTATCAACATTGTAACGATTTATGAGCCTTTGAAGTCAAATATGATCATATTGTATCAAATTACGCAATTGTCTGAACAAAAATATAGACTAAGCCATACCTTTCGCCGAAAATAACTTTGGCCCCTTCGAACATATCGTCTTTGTAATAGTCTTGTTCGAATCCCCATCAAAAACACTATATACAGTGTTCACGGCGGGCTGTAAATGCCACGATTGCGACCTTTTGCCTGTCCGGCAAAAAAAATCAAGATGGCGCCCAGAACTGTCTAGTCTAAAATATCATGCTAATTCATTTGCTTGAAATATACAGTGGATACACTAAGTATATTATAGGAATAAATGAGTTTTTGAGGACTACCTAGGGTCACTCTTTGTTTTTGAGGGTTTGTTTA